CAAATTAAAAATGCCTTGTGCTGCTAGATGATTCTCTGATTTATTACTATCGACAGTGAGAGACCAAAGAGGAAAAAGGCAGAAGCTCAGGTTCTGGACCTTTGTTGCCCACAGGGGGTTATTTTAGCCCTCTTGCTGCCTCTGTCTTGACCTGCTTTGGGAGGAACGCTCTCTGGGGAGCCCCGGGGTGTGCAGCCCAGACGCTCAGCATCACACCGTAAGAGCAGAGCTCAGTGGGTCACAGCTTCTCAGTATCTGCTGCTCGAGAGGGAGGCTGGCTGAAGCTGCAAGGCTGCGTGCCACTCGCTGCCCCGTAACTCCAGCCCTCTTCCAGTTAGCAGGACAGAAATAACCTAACTATCCATTTCCAGAACTGCCGTTTGTTTTTTTCCAGAGCGAAGATCTGGAGCCGTGACGAGTGATAAACCATTAAACCAGATGGACCTTGTTTGGTTTCAGCTGCGTTGCTGCATGTGATACTGGGCTGCAGAAACAACATAATTAGTGAAGCTCACGCTGCCCGATGCTGCAGGTAAGCAGGGAGCTGGTCAAACTTGTGTGTAACACAGAAAGCATTATATTTGGGAGACGTTTGTACAAAAAAAAAAGAGTAAACAATCTGAATATGGTTGTTAACTAAACAGTGTTATCAGTTATTAGTTCTCAGGGGGCAAAATAAGTATCTACAGGTTACACCATTTGCCATAAGTATATATAAGTGCCCAGGTGCCGTACATCATCAGGGTGGAGAAGACCTGCTCTGAGGCTGACCCCTGCTCTGATGCTGGGGTCAGAGCAGGCCCATCAACCTGCAGCAGGCCAGCAATAAACTATGGACTGGCAATGAAGACCTGCACCACTCTACATGTTCATAGCCAACATCTGTGGTGAACTGATTTTATCTGTGCCCACTGAAAGTTGCCATTCTGGAGTACAGTGGGGTTTTGTGACACAGTAAGGAAAAAATCATAGAATCATAGAATGGCTTGGGTTGGAAGGGAACTTAAAGATCATCGAGTTCCAACCCCCCTGCCATGGGCAGGGACACCTCCCACTAGACCAGGTTGCTCAAAACCCCATCCAGCCTGGCCTTGAACACCTCCAGGGATGGGGCATCCACAACTTCCCTGGGCAACCTGTTCCAGTGCCTCACCACCCTCACAGTAAAGACTTTCTTCCTGAGATCTAATCTAAATCTCCCCTTTTTCAGTTTAAAACCGTTACCCCTCACCCTATCGCTACACTCCTTGGTCAAGAGTCTCTCCCCTTCTTTCCTGTATCCCCCTTCAGCTGCTGGAAGGCTGCTATGAGGTCTCCCCAGAACCTTCTCTTCTCCAGGCTGAACAACCCCAACTCTCTCAGCCTGTCAAGCATTTCACTCCAAGAATTTTACTCAGTCCGATTAATAGTGAAGCGTAGGTTAAAACCCTTCAAATGGGTGGAACACAAAGTAAAAACACTTTGTACAAGAGTATCCGAACTTCCTGCACAGTTACCTTCCACATGGTCATGCTTCAGTGCTCCAACATCCGTGACGTGCTGGAAAGGGGACAAAGGGGAGAAGATCTTTGTGAATCCTCCCATTACGGAGTCAAGGTCCCCAAAACTGCCCACCAGGCAGCCTTACTCACTCCTGGTAGCACAGACTTAGGGACTGAGGGAGTCTGGGACATACATAATGAGGCAGCAGCTACCCCATGGTTATGAAGACATGACAGCACCTAAAACGTGAGCTCGGCAGTCAAACAAGGATTGTGGCATCCTCTGCTGAAAGAACCACCAGGGATCTCTCACGCGGTGAATGAACCAAGGGCCAGAAGCTTGGAGAAATGAATCTATCACTCGGTGACGTGCGGCACGCAAGGAGCTGAAAGCAATTGGAGTTCCTGCTTGTCTCCTGTCACAGCCCAACACAAATGGATTGGAGTCTGGTGACATGCAGCCTGGGGAAAAAGCAATGTGTCTCGGGCAAGAGGGCAGGTGGTGGAGAGCACACGCCTCCGAGGCTGAAGGAATGGCAGGAAAATGTGCCCTCCCTGAACTTCAGAAAATAGATTGTGAACAGAGAGCGGTAAATCAGAGACACCCAGCCCCTCACCTCCACCCCAGCACAAATATGCTGCCTTGGAAACACCACCAGAAACTCCAGCACACAGTCAGACTTCAGGCTTAAAAAAGAAAAAGAGCAGAAAAATAAAACAACCCAAGATGCCTTGACATTTGTGAAATCTGATTTAAACAACCTCAAGCCGGCACAGGTTTCCCAGCTTTTCATAACCAAGCTTGGCTTCGGAGCTAGTCACAAACGGTAACATCAGGCAAAGGTCTGGGATCTATAGGGCCAGACCCCAGTGAGTTTAAAAAAAAAAAAACAAAAAACAACAACTGAAAACCACCACAACAGTTGGCGAAGTGCCCGGGTTGTGATCCCAAATACTGGCCACCAGGAAATACTGGACAAGAAATGGGTACAGAGAGGGAGAAAGAACATGAGATGGCCTGGATATATGTGTAAGAACACTTTCTGCTTTAGATTTTTTGGGGAGTTTTCTCACATCACGGCAGCAGAACGCTGCAGGGGGTCACAGGGCTTGGGAAGTTTTGCTGGAGACTCATTTTGCATCAGCGAAGGTACAAGGGGTCGATTATTATCTGGAACCCTCCCAAAGCTGGGTCCATCAAACCACAGGGCGGCATGGACTGCTCCGTGTGTCCCAGCACCTGGTTCCTTATTCCCTATTTTTCTTGTTCCTAACCTCAGCTTCAACAATCTTTTTGACAAACCTAATCGGGCCTTCTTTCCCATCCAAAGATGCAGAAAAGCCACCCAAATTCGGGTCAGCTAAGGGGAACTATACCTAGATCTGCCCCCAGGCGCTGTTGCTACCACCAGGAAAAAGAGCTGCAAGTCAGAGAGAGTGGGGTGAGCAGGAGACACTGGGCAGCTGGAAGGAGCCGGAGCAAAGGAAGTGGGATAGACAGAAAAAGAAACACTCACT